CCTGAGACCAAATACTTTAAGAAATAAACATTTATTTAATACAATTCGACACGAGTCAACTAGCCTATTGTTCTAGCACTAGGATTGACTAGGTACTTACCGGTAACCCACAATGTAAAATGAATACCTTTACAAGTATTACACATTTGACATTGTGGGTTACCTACAATGCGAAGAGATGGCGCTGCCTTGAGCCTAAGAAATACTACAGAAAATTCGACACGGTCAATTAGGGCGGCGGTAGCATAATGGAGAGTGCATCCGCCCGGATAGCGGAGGGTGCGGGTTTGAGTCTCGTCTGCTGCCTGGCCCGCTTGGAATTTTCTCAAGTAAAATTTATATTTAGATTTAAACATCTAGCAGTTACGTGCTTAAAAAACAAAAATATAACTTTAATTGCTATTTCTTCTTTCCAATGTTTAATACTTGTAAAGGTATTTATTTGACATTGGGCCCAATTCTGGCGTGCCAACTTATATCTAAAACTAACTAAAATCAGATATAGAGTTGTCAAATTCAATTTGGTATTCTGTAATGACACTCTATCTCTAAATTTAAAATTGACGTTGCTAAGTTATTCAACTTAGATTTAGATGATTAAATGGTATTCTGAAACGCGTTCTAAATGTCATATTTTCTCTAAAATTAGAAATGTCACACTAAATTTAAGAAGGACCTACGGAGGTCCTCTCTAAATTTAAATGTGAATAATTGAGGCCAAATATCACGTTAATGATTGCTGTACTTAAGTTTTGAACTTGTTGTTATGGTTGGATATGGGTTTATTTCGTTGAAAAAAGACGGTGATAATAATATATTAGCTAGATCTTTCTTTTTTTTTAAAAGGTAGGTGGGTCTATGTTACGATGCGGATTTATTATAAGCCTATTAATGTGTCATGCTTATAATAAATCCGAGCTGCAGCGAGCAGCAACATAGTAACTCGATTTAATACATTTTGGGGTGGTCACCCATCCTAAGATCGGCCATTGTGAAAATTGCTTAACATTCACGATCGCCGAACGAAAGCGTTACACTTGCGCTATTGTGGTCTTTCGTAGGTAATGTACACGTATATCTTGTATAAAATACTAAATAATATAAGGTAAAATCTTATATAACATAAATAAAAATCCACTTCATATAAAAACAACCTAAAAAGGTAAAAAATCTATGTACTAATTTTATAAGTAATACTTACAGATCCTACTTATATCTAAAGTACATAGTCAAATAATTAACAAGATAATAGAGGTATGGTGTCAGTGATTTGCATTCCAATCACCAATTGCAATCCAAATGTTGTTTTGACTTTAAATGTAGGTACTTTAGACTTTAATGTATTATTTGTTCCTTTGTTTTATGTGGTTTTGTTTCTATGAAGCAGTTTTTAATACCTATTAGTTCGAAATGTTTTTATTTCCAACTTTTTATAAGCTAAACATATTTCTTAAAATAACCAAACACGAAATAAGTATCTACTGTTTGTAATTGAAAAGTTTGTTTTTATATATCCTAAACTGGGCATCTTCACCAAATGAATAATTGGGATGATCTCGCCAAAAACTGATAGAAACAAAAAAGATAAAAATAGGTTACGCATCTCGGATTATACAATAAATGAGAATAAAATCTTCACAAAACAGCCGAAGGGATAATTTTACAACCTCTTACCGAAACCAAAATTATAGGTATTAGATAGATACGCTGGATTGGGAATTTACGATGCGAGAAATTTTCAAGAATGGTTCACGTTAGACCCTGTCGGCCGTAGCAGAGTTAACTAATCATCATCATCAGCCTATTAATGTCCCCATTGCTGGGGCACAGGCCTTCCCTATGGGTGAAATAGAGAGATTAGGCCATGACCCACCACGCAGGCCCAGTGCGGATTGGCGGGTGTTAACGACTGCAGATGCAGCCGGGAGAACGAGGCACTCGACATAGAAGATGTTTGGTCACCCATCCAATGACCGACCACTGCGAAAGTTGCTTAATTTCAACGATCGCAGCCGAATGAGCTAATTGTCTGCGCCATTGAACTCCTCTAGTTAACTAATATCAAATAATTTATTTTACATGGATTATGGACACATTCACACTATACCAGGCGGTAACCGACTGACAACCGAGCAACACATGAAACAACGCTCGAAAAAAGCTTGGTGCCGCCTCGGCTCGGCCACGGCCCGTTGCATGAATACATTGCCGGCGCGCTGCCACCCGGCAATCGTAGTGAACCTTAGACAAAACAATAAACAGTTTTGCGCGGACGAGTACATTTACTTTATCTGAATGATTAGACTGCATCACGGTGCAACGATACCTACCTAATTGCTCGGTCGAGGCACTTCTTTGATCATTACAAAATTTACAGATCGGCTCGGTGACCATGCTACGGCTGAAGCTCGGCTCAGGACTCGACACGGTCCATCGTCACTAATCATCCTTAATAGATTTGTTAGCTGCCAAATCTAGTTGGTACCCATATTTAAATTTAATTTTATAAGTGATAGCTTTCCCTGTCGTTTTGCCAAAAAAAATACTTGGCGTTTTCTAAGAAAAAATATGATTCCTAATGTTCTCCCACCAGATTTAATTTCTCCAAGTTCTTATTTTCCCCCTAAATAAGGACAAACACTCCCAATCTAGAAACCCTAAGTACCACAGAGTAGGCAAGTATTCACTCTTTAATATTGATTCATAATTTCTCATACAGTAAAATAACAACCTCAGTTAAGTTTCCATATTTCAAAGATGATGAAGAACAACAAAGAATTACTGAAATAAGTCAAAATCACTGAATACTGGTGTCGATTCTAGCGTGATTCTCTAAACTTAAAACTAAATTTACCATCTGTCTCTCCTATTCATTCCGTATAGAGAATGACAAGGATACACTCTTGTCAAATTTAAGTTTAGATTTAGAGAATCATGCCAGAATCGACACCAATATATAATTATTGCTAATTTGAGTAAACCGATAATTACCGGTTCAAAGCCTTTACATATTCTGTGAATTCAATTTAGATGCTCGTTTACAGCTGTCAACTGTGTTTTTAATTTAGTTAGTTCGCAATTTCAGAATACCAATACTCTAAACCTGAACTAAAATTAGCTCTCTAATTTTAAGTTTAGGTTTAGAGAATGTAACGCCAGAATCGGTCCCATTGTGGGTTACCTACAATGCGAAGAGATGGCGCACTGCCTTGCAGCCTAAGGAATACTACAGAAAATTCGACACGGCGCGTACTGATTTAAGTTAACAGTAGCCTGTGAACGCGACGATCCAGCGAGCATGAACCGCTCCCATCGGTCGAGATACTTCGTAACCGTAGGTAGTTTTCCAATTACAGCACTACAGCGCATTAAGCGGCATAATGCTTAACGTTGAATGTTCGAACTACAGCAACGCTTCGCACAATCAAGCACTCTCAAAAGTTATGTTTTCGTGTGATGCGTGCAATCGTACCAACTCAGGGACAGAAAATTAACAAGTGTTTTTTCTTTAAGTTGGCATTGATCGAAATGTTTTAATTATATAATATCATCAGTAATATTATTTATTGTTGAAAAATTTTAAAGCTTTCGTTTCAATGTAGTTTTTTTAATAATCAAAGTTAATTCAAACTGTGTTAAAAAATAAATATAAGTATGGATGAAGGTACAAACATTGACTTAGCGCACTCTGCTGGTGCATTTGAAAGCTAATTTACGTTCCAATTATGCATCAGCATAATTCGGCATTGTGCGCCACTGAGTCGCATTAAGCTCTGTAATTGGAAAACTACCCCGGATCCCCATCTGAAAAATTCTGAGAAATTCACGGCCGCAAAACTTAAAAAAGACAAAATTTTAGTAATCTGTGCCCTTTGTGGAATATGTGGACACTGGTGTCGATTCTGACATGCTTCTCTAAACTTAAAACTACAAGTTTTTGGCGGGATTTCATCGAGTGCACTTGGCGTCTTATTTTAATTATTCTTAAATTCGTTTATAGTGGATATTGTGAAATAAAATTGGTGTGGTTTTGTGTAACAACCGTCTGCGTAACTGAAGAATTAGTGGAATCGTTAAAATATACGCTATTCCGGTCAAGTGGACGTGAGAATTTTATTGTAGTGTTGACTACCTCACAGAAGCTTATCGAAAAAGCCAACTCGATACATTTCGTGCCAAACACTCCAAGAAACATTAGAATGCGTCACACTGACATTCTAATGTAAAAACAAAAAGAAGATTAATTTTATTAAAGACCAGGCTGTATGGGCATTGTTCCCTTTGCCTTCCCTAAAACGGGAGAACTTCAACAAAAAAAAAACTAAATATAACATCAGCCTCACCTTTTCATTCTGTATAGAGAAGGACAAGGATGCACTGTTGTCAAATTTATGTTTAGCTTTAGAGAATCATGCCAGCAGAATCGACATCACTGGTGGACACGTAGATAATTATACATCGCTAAAATTCGATGTTTATATTTTTATTATTTAAATACTGTAAAAATAAATTTGAAATCGTGAAAAGTTCACTATTATACGTTATAAAATCTTACAGTGAGATTAGTATTCAGGTGAGTTACTTTTTAATTTGCATTGCTCCCTTGCCGGATTGCAATACATGATGGTTTTTAAGTTTTGTTTTTATAATTTATAGAACAGCAGTCGAGTTAATTATATATTTAACTTTTTTCCTTAGTCTTAAGAAATACCTTCTTATTGCATTTTTTTATTATGTATTGTGAGAGTGTCCAATAATTAAAAAACATCATAATAAAAAACATTCGCGATTCGAAGCCTTGGGAAATGATTGACACTCATAAGTTTCATACGTGATTATTAATACTTTATCATCAAATTGTTTAAGTCTTAGAACATTAGTTTAAAGAGGTTGCCAATACTTTGTTTACATTTAACAAAAATAACCTAATGCAAATGATAAACTTAGATTAGATTTAAAAGTTAGTAGTTGTTACATATAGAATACAGAACAACGTTTTATCCCTTCTCTCGCTAGTCCAGCATTTATACTGCATTACATACTGTGGTGCCCAGTTATAGAATAATTAATTTTTCATACAGACTTTCATCCCTTGGCTCAATTTATCACATAAAAAGGATATGCCTTTTTCCGAGGTCTCCATTATCTTAATACAAAAGTTTATTGAAATGGTTTTTCTCTTCTGTATCATCATCATCATCATCATCAACAGCCTATCTTAGTCCACTGCTGGACATAGGCCTCTCCAAATGTACGCCACTCAGATCGATCTTGGGCTACTCGCATCCATTTATCTCTTTATATACTTCTGTATGTAAACTAATATTCACATTGACTATTATTTTTGTCTACAGCATGGCAGGTGTAGAGCAGCCGTGCTACACTCTCATTAACTTTTCAACAGACACAGAGCCTAACAATGAGATGCAACTCAAGCTTGATCTTGGTAAGTGCTGTTACACCATTCATGAAATTATTACCTAATTTATGAAATTACTTTATAAAACTTTTTTTTGCTTTGCTTTGAAGTGTTAAGCTATGTGAAAAGTGTTCCACAGTCTTTTAAATAAGCTAATTATCAAATACCTAAAGCCTAATTCAATAAGGCAGTGAAAATACCTTTCTATGTATTAACTCTATCCAACAGAGAAGGGTGATACAAAGAAGAAGATTGAGGCCCTGAAAAAAGTTATAAGCATTATCCTATCTGGCGAGAAGATACCAGGGTTGCTGATGATCATCATCAGGTTTGTGCTGCCGCTGCAGGATCACACCATCAAGAAGCTGCTCTTGATCTTCTGGGAGATTGTCCCAAAAACTACACCTGATGGCAAGCTCATGCAAGAAATGATTCTTGTGTGCGATGCCTATAGGAAGGTATGTCACATTGTTAAAACTAGTTAATTGTTTTGTTGTGAGTTAATTTTAATTCAACATTTCAAATACTTTCTTATTATAGAAAAAAAACCAGTTCATTTGTTCGATCTTGTTTTTTCTTGACTCAATGCTCAATTATATATATCCGTTTACAACCGGTAAAAAATGTTTTGCCTATTTTTAGTTTCTATGTATGATTTTTAATTTAGAGGGGTCAAGGTACTTGGGAAAAATAGAAATAAAAATTGGGAAATTCCCGTTTTCCGGGAAATCGTCTGCACGATCGTGCACTACAGGAATAATTTAACGTACGTGCATCTTGATGGAAGGCATTTTATTTCAAGGTCTGTAATAGAAAAAATACAAGGAAGGTGACAAATGTAATAGTTAATAATAAATTTTTGAAATGGACAGGCCGAAATCAATTAAAAAAGAATATTCGGGCGCCTGGACTGTACCTTATTGTTAGCCGGGAGAGCAATGAACAATTAATCGCAAGGGGAGCTTAATGCAAATCCATATTCATTTTGGGTTGTCAATTTATTTAAATATGCTACAGAATTACTGGTCCAAAAGGGTAACTGCTAAATTTTGAAACTAAGACGAAGATGTAAGTGAAAATGTTACCTTTAATGTGGGGGCCGATACACAATTATAAATTTAGAAGATTACCGACCTTGTTGCATCTTTGGAGTTAAATATGTCTGGTGTTGCAAATATGTAAGGGATGGCCGTTGTTACAACACGGGGATTCACCTCCACATCACGGGAAATGTTGAAATTTGAATGAAATAATCCAAATAAAAAATCCAAGTAAAAAAAAACGCTTTTCGCTGTAAACAAACATTCCTCAGATTAGCACTTGGCTCACAACAAAGGAAAAAATGTAAAACTAAGGGAATCACTAAGGTTCTTACCGTTTTACAAACAAATTAAGCTTGGAATGAGGTCGCCGCCATTCCGCGCAAACGGTGCAAAATATTACATCTGTAAACAAAATCAATCCTCATGTAAATCATTGAAATATATGAATTAAAACACTTTTTGAATTTGGAAAAACACTTACCATTAAAAAAATAATAAGATTAGTATGAATTACTTTGTAATTCATTAAGATTAGCAGCGAAACATTTCGCTCCCTGTAAAATTGCGACGTGAAGTGACGTTAGTTTTTTCGTTTTCTCTTGCCGGGTAGGCAAAGAGAACAACGTCCATACAGCATACTGCTTGATTAAGGCAGCAACATAATTATTCAAAAGTGCACAGATTAAAGAAAATGGACTTGAGATAACAGAGAGAGACAACCTAAGAAAGTCTTCTATCTCGCTCTTCGAGCGAAGGAGATTCATGTAACGTTTTTAACACTTGCGCTATTTACGTTATAACACCGCACTCTAAGGGCGAGTACACATCGACGCTTGTGATCGCTAAAACAAAATTAGCTCCACTGAAAAACAAATTATCTTTGCCCAAACTTGAACTCTGTGGAGCACTACTTCTATCGCAGCTAATGAAAAAGTTAATAGATACTCTACCACCTAACATTCCAATATATGCGTGGACCGATTCTATGGTGGTGCTGGGCTGGCTTCACGGAGACATGAATAGATGGAAACAGTTCGTAGCCAACAGAGTCCATACTATACTCAACATTATACCGTTATCATCATGGAATCACGTTAGATCTGAAGATAACTCCGCAAATTGCGCCACAAGAGGCTTGTCATCTCAGCAATTATCAAGATATACATTGTGGTGGCAAGGCCCACAATGGTTGACTACATTCAATCCTACCGTGATAGAAAATAAAGTATATCAGCCACCAGAATTAGAAGCCAAGAAAATCTTTGTGTACGCCGCCGTATGTCACAAGAACGATTTAATATTACAATTATTACATGAATGCAGCTCGACAAGGCGCATAACAACAATACTCGGCTGGCTATCACGTTACATTCAATGGTTGCGTCACAAACAAACACCACGACAAAAATACCTATCATCAACGGAAAGGCAATGCACTGAATTTAATTATAAAAACTGTACGATCGATTGAATTTGAAGATGACATGCGAAATTTACAAAAACAAGGAAAATTAAGAAGCACCAGCAGGTTATTGAGCCTGTCTCCTTACATTGATCTCCAGGATGGATTACTTAAAGTTGGTGGGAGATTGAACAATTCATTACTAAGTCAGTCGACTAAACATCCAATCATATTACCAACCCATGGTAAACTCACTGAGCTCATTATACAGCAAGCACACTCCACTACCCTACACGGTGGACCACGCTTAACCCTATCCATCTTAAGAGAAAGATACTGGATACTCAGTGGGCTTCGTACAGTGAAGAGAGAGTTGCGTAAATGCGTAACTTGTCGACGTTACAAAGAGGAAAACAAAACACAGTTAATGGAGGTTCTGCCACAACCTCGTGTTACTCCCTCTCGCCCATTTACTCATACCGGGATTGACTTCACTGGACACTTTGACATAAGAGCAAACAAGGGCCGCGGTACACGAGCACATAAAGGCAGTGCATCTCGAATTGGTGTCAGACCTGAGCACACCTGGGTTTTTGGCAGCATTTCGATGCTTCTGCGCCCGAAGATCTGTACCCCTACACATATACAGTGATCAAGGCAGAAACTTTATAGGGGCCAACAAGGTTTTGAAGAAGGAGTACAAGGACATTCTTGCAACAATAAATGAAGAGCTGCTCAACAAGATCAGCGACTTCAACATCCAATGGCACTTTAATGCGCCAGCCTATCCCTCAGCTGGCGGTCTGTGGGAGGCTGCCGTAAAAAGCTTAAAACACCACCTACGACGTGTGATTGGGGACCAGAAACTCACGTACGAAGAGTACATCACTTTACTCCATCAGATTGAGGCCTGCCTTAACTTGCGACCTTTACTGACCTTGAGTGAAAGCACAGATGATGAATACCTATCACCGGGACATTTCTTAGTTGGTGGACCTCTAGTATCAAGACCTCAAACGGATCCTGATTACCATATGAACTTGAACACCCGCTGGCAGATGATTCAAGCTATGAACAAACATTTTTGGAAGAAGTGGTCATCAGATTACTTACAACAATTACAAGTTCGTACCAAATGGAGAACACCTTCGAAGAACCTCGAAGTTAACAACATCGTCCTAATCAAGGAAGAAAACTTGCCGCCTGGAAAGTGGCTCATGGGAAGGATTATTAACGTACACCCTGGTAATGATGGATATGTACGTGTGGTGTCCGTAAAAGCGAAAAACGGTATTATGAAGAGGGCAATTTTAAAGTTATCGCCTTTATTTGTAAAAGAGGAGCATACACAACCACAAATAAACAACAGCGTCCTATTATCGACATGTGATGACGTCACGAATAATACCGAAACGAGAGAACAGCGACCAAGGCGCAAGACTACAAAGTCTATGGGGGCAATTTTCCAGATAGCAATGATGCTTTTTATTTTTCTATTCACCCCCGCCCAGTGTTCATATAACATGACAGCCTTGAATAACAACCAAAACATTTATTTCGATAAAATGTATGACATGAACAATATACGTGACGAATGGAAATTAATTGTCTATTACAATATGAGTACCTAATGCTGACCGCATTACGTCTAGTGGAAAAGTATGTCGGACACTTAGAAGATAACATACGAACTAATGCACTCCCAATTCAATATAAAAGTATCGTCTTTCAACTACAACACGAACTGTCCGAGATTGAACATTACAATAAAATACTCAAGAACAAAGCAACTAGAAGACAGAAAAGAGGTCTAGTCGACGGTGTCGGCTATTTAGCGAATTTGGAGTGCTAGACGAGCGTTTCGCCAAAAAATATGAGAAGGACATAGAGAAAATTTCGATGAATGAAAACCACCTACAACTTTTGCTAAAAATCAGACAATTGTCATTGAAGCTCAGTACAATATTCTACAGAGGAATGAAGCTATCATGAACAAGCAGTTTGGAATGGTTCAAAAATGCCTGCAGGATGTTACTTTTAATACCAACAGAATGGAAAAGGTAACGAATTCCGAGTTACAAATCCTGTCATCATCCATGTCAGCTATGATTATTATTTCTAACGTCCGAAACATGCAAGAAAATGTAATAAATACTGTGACCGACCTCGCACATGGTCATATGGATCCACATTTGTTGCCACCAGAACAGTTGGAAGAACAATTAAACATGATATATAGTCACATACCAAACGACCTGACTCTGCCTGCCGACAAACTCGATTTTAAGGAATTTTACAAGCTAATGAAGATAAGTGGCGACATTGGTACATCTTACTTGATAATTGAAATCAAGATTCCTCTAGTAAATAAGGAAGCCTTTGAACTGGATAGAGTAATAAGTCTTCCTCAAGAAACCTACTTCGTGGTATTTATCGCACCCTACATCGCATTCAATCTGCAAAAGGATCTGCTCCTCACTCCTATGAGAGTGATCCTATCTGATATTCAAAATTGTATACACATCCAAACAAACAGATTATTATGCTCTATAAATAAACCAATTTATGAATTACGAATAACACAAGCAATTTGTAACTTGAGCATTCATAACAAAACAATGTGTAGTGCAATACAAGCGCCGTGTCGCGAGCGGTGGATCATGTTATATACCGATAACAGGTGGCTATTCTCTTACTGTGGGAAATGCACGGTGCGCATATTTTGCACAGACACCGGAATGACAATTAAGTCTTTGAGTGACAATGGTGTGATAAACATAGGTCAAGGTTGTACAATAAAGAGTGACACTTTTTCCATATTTGGCCACAACAATTATTTAAGCTAAGTCAAGGTCCAAAAGGATATGCTAACGGCACCGGATACTTTAATTTTGAACTCAATACTGAATTTCTCAGACATTGAGAATTTACATTTGCTCCCGAAGACCATGACAACGAGTGGCGCCGAATGAAGACTGGGATCACAACCCTGAAAGAACAAGAAGGTGCTCCACTCAGCGCACATGATGTACACCAGTTCTCAGTGATGTAAACAATCTTGGGATTGATCATCGTTGCGGGATGTGTCTACGCGATAGTACGATACCGTAGGAGGAGGGCTGCCATGAACTTGACTTTACCAAATACCCCTACGGATTCATTCCAGATGGAAGCGAATGTCAACCAGGATGCTGCAGCTGCACCGCCGCCCAGGACTCGGCCACGATCCGTGCGATTGGACATTCCTGTTCGGAGCGTAGTGCAGTGATCAAATATTTAAGAAATTTAATTTTACATTGTTATATTATGCCTTTTTTATATTTAAATTTTTACATTTCTTACAGATAGTATTTACATGTTTATACTTTTTTAATAATGTATTCTCCTTTTGGCCTGCAGGATGTACGAGTAATCGTACAGTTTAGGCTATAAATAATATGTTCTAATTTAGGTCACTTGTTTCTAAGTCATTTACGCGCGGTATTTCGCATGCTTAAGCTCTACTACTTTATAATATTAAATTTACATGCAAATAAACAGTGTTAGAACAACTATCATTGTGTTTGTTTCGTACATCAACTTTCCCTCACAATTATCTGGCACTCTTCTCATATACTGTAGACACACTTCACTCTCTCTTTCTCTTTTTCATATTAGAGTAGTTGTTTCACTCATTTTCACATTCCTTTTATTGATAAACACGGATATAATTTATTTTTTACCTGTATATATAAAAGGCAACCGTTATTGATTGACTATCAACACTCAGCTCAAACCACAGAATGGATTGTGCTGGAATAGATTATTTGACAGTGTTAAAAATAAAGTGCCAATTGTTAGCATCTGTGTTCAGAATGAATATTGGTAGGGGTTTTTACTATTTTTACAATAAAAATATTCATAATTTTCCTAAAAACTAACGAAAAAGATAATAGTTTTCTTATCAATTGTCACGTGACCCAAAACGTTTGGGATTGGCCGAGCCTAAAATGACGTCACACGCAAGTAAACTTCCGGTTAAAGTGACATTGCATTGTATCGTTTGACGTTTTAATAATAGTCGTGTGACGTCACACACTAGTAAGACGCCATATTGTAAAGAGAAACGTTTTCGCGGCAACTTGAAAATGGAGTTTTTGATTTGGTTATTTTTACTGAAATACACAGCAAAATGATGAATATCCACTTTTTACGGACTCCATAAACTAATTAGTCAAAAACGTGAGATTGTTTTCTAAAACTTGTCAAGTACTTTCCCTATTTGACACACAATATAGCTATTATGTAAGACGTAGGCGTGCGCTTAGAAAGGATTTTCCCCCAAAAGGGGTACAGTGGAGGTTCGAAGTTTGGAGCATCAAGATTGCAAGGTTAATCCTTTAACCAAATAAGCAATTTTTCTATGCAGACAAAGTCATGAGCACCAACTATGGGTAATTCCGGACACATCTATCAGCCCACTTAGTGTTACAAGTTTCGCTGTCTGTAGCAAAAATAAAAGTTGCAATAATAATGTAGTTTTAAAACACGCGAAAAATATGGAGTAAATCGGCTTTAAAACTGCGTAAAAATTTGATCATTGAAATTTTTATTTTCAGCTAGGAACCGTCTAAAAGAAAAGCTAAAGGTGCTTTAGCTAGGTGGGCCAGTAGATTTGTCCGGAAGCATAGTTTATAAATTGTATTTCATTAAAATCTGATTCAGTTAATATAACATATAAGGATTTGCAACACCCCAATGAGTTCCTGCGTGGGTCGACGTTGCGTTTCCTCTGCAAACTGAAGGAGCCTGAGCTACTGGAGCCCCTGATGCCGGCCATCCGCGCCTGCCTCGAGCACCGCCACTCCTACGTGCGCCGGAACGCAGTGCTGGCCATATTCACCATCTACAGGTATATTGTCTGCAGGACAGATTCTGGCCAGCTGCTGCAGACCTGAAAAACAAATATGTATGTAGTTCTTTGGGTTTGAAGAAAAAAGTGCAAAATTAAATTAGTTATTCTATCCTTGGAAATAAGTTCAATTTAAAAAGTATTTCATATTAGTAGTTCCTGATACTGAAAAAGACACTTTTTGTATGTTAATATCCTTAGACATACTAGACATGACTCAAAATTAGAAAAAGTATAAATATAGTTATGATTTTATTTTTTAAGCATTTAACTGCTAGATGTTTAAATCTAAAGAAAAGTTTTACTAGAAAAACATCCATGCGGACCGGCAGCGAACGGTATTTCTTCTTTCAAATGTTTAATACTTGTAAAAGTACTCATTTGATATTGTGGTTTACCTAAAATAAGAAGAGATGGCGCTAACTTGTAGCTTAAGGCTAGGAAAATTTCGACGCAGCCATTAGGGCCGTGGTAGCATAATAATTGGTCAGTGCATTCGCCCGGATTGCGAAGGGGTTCGAGTCCCGTCCGCTGCCGGGTCCGCGTGGATTTTTTTTCCTGTAAAACTTTTCTTTAGATTTAAGTATAAATATAATAAGACCTGTTTCTTAGCATTGAAGGCAGAGACATCTCTAGTTGACTTTTGAAAATATTCTTAAAATTGTATTGATAATGTCGATAGCCACAAAATCTATACCATTGACAGACAGCAAGAACTATTGTTGATACTATTCATATTTTAGATCAATACTTTCAATATTTTAGATACAGTTGATAGGCCTAATATGGCATTTTTTTTCAAGCTATTGGATTAAATTCTGGCATGATTCTCTGGCAGGGATCAACGGCTTAACGTGCCTGCCGAAGCACGGAGGAGCTCGAGATAGTAAATTTTTGGTCACCCATCCAATGACCGACCACTGCGAGAATTGCTTAACTTCAACGATCGCAGCCGAACGCGCTAACCACTTGCGCCATCGAGCTCCTCTAGAACAGTGTCTCCATGTCATGTTATATACAGGATAAATAAATATTTCCAACACTCACACCAATTAGCCTAGCCCTAAAATAAGCACTTTAAGGCTTGTGTTTTGGGATACTAGGGTAACGGATAGAATATACTGTGCATATAATAATAATAATAAGTTTGTATGAAGATAGAATATTGTATGATATTATTACCGTGTCCTCACCAAATCAATACGGGACCATTTCGCCAAAAAAACTGATAAAACTAAAACTGATAATAAAAAAACATGTGATGACGAATTGAGAACCTCCTCCTTTTTGAAGTCGGTTCAAAACGAACATTAAGTATAACATTGTATTTGTAAGTCAATATTTTTTCAGTTCGAGACCATTTTTAAGAAAAATATATTTTTGTTTTAAAATAAACACATTGCTGGCGAAAAGTTTTTTTTAAAGAATAATTAAACCCCATCGATTTCCCAACTAAAACAAGAGTTTTGTCTCTTTTTTAATACGAATGAAAAAATCCACATGCATTCCGTGTCTGTTGCAGGGTGAGGACGGGTCCATACAAAATCCCCCATGATTTATGCTTTAATTTTAAGTTTACAGAATCGACACTATTGAATGTCCAATCTATTTCTACTTTGAAAATTTGCTACTTTTTTTACCGTCGAACCTTTCATTATTTAGGAACTTTGAGTTTCTGATCCCGGACGCGCCTGAACTAGTGGCCCAATTCCTGGAGACGGAGCAGGATATGTCGTGCAAGAGGAACGCCTTCCTGATGCTGTTGCATGCTGATCAAGAGAGAGCGTTACAATACCTGGCCTCAAGGCTTGACCATGTTCATTCGTTCGGGGATATCCTGCAGTTGGTCATCGTCGAGCTCATCTATAAGGTGAGATACTCACCCCTATCGATTTATGGACAATTTTTAATACATCAATCCTGCAGTAAATGTTAATTTTAATTATTTGATATTATGATGATTGTATTTAGCTAATTTTGATATTTGCCAACCATTCATAATACAATTTAAACATTTATTTGTATTTGCAAGCCACCTGAGCATATTTTGTAACTTTTCATTCTTAAACAAATGAATAATTAGTATTCTTAAACTTTGAACTTATTCATAAATTTTAGTGTTGCAGAATCTGCAGCACTCAAAGTGATCACAGTAGCCCATTGACATGTGATTCCTTACCATCAGGCCAGTCGTCTGCTTATTTGCCTCTTAACCTACTAATGTAAAAAATGAGAAATTGTATATGTTCAGTCGTGTTATTCTGTAAGAACAAACTTTTCACATACCTATTTGTTTCTTAGGTTTTCACGCACATCACTCATTAAGTAAAACTAGTTTTAAAGATTAAATAACAAACATCTTCCGTGCTTATTTGAAAGAACAAACTCACCTTTCACCTGAAAATCCGCAGTCAGATTTTTATTTACTTTGTCGAGCTACCTTCAAAAGTCTTTCGAAGGTAGCTCGACAAAGTAAATAAAAATCATTATTCTGACAATGCAGACCTGAAAAAGCTGCGAAACGTCAATAAATAAATAAATTTCGTGCATTAACCCGTTAAAACTAGTTTTATTTAAACTTTTCACAGTTGAATTTGCTGGTGTGATTTAAAATTTGTGTACTAATTTTAAATTACACTGCGGATTTTCAGGTGAAAGGTGAGTTTGTTCTTTCAAATTAGCACGGAAGATGTTTGTTATTTAATCATACAAAAACGACTAAATGGATTTATATGAAATTTGGCACTCATACTGTTCAATGTTTAGGTTTTAGACACCATATCTTTTATACATTTTTGTGATATTCTCAGAAAAATAATATAATAAAGACTAAGTGGCAGCTCATCTGAGCTGATAGTTTAAAGTCACGTTAGCTCAACGTTGTTATTGTGAATTGCATAATTGGTACATATACTACAGTAGAGATCGGCTAATTTAAAATATAACACATCACACTTCTATGGTACTTTTATGAGTAATCTTTCATAATGGACCTTTAAAGTGGCCATCGTGGTCGCGATGATGGGTTGTTCAATACACAATCGTAACTGTTCATTAATTTCGCCGTCGTCTGTTGAAGATGGACGTTGAACTGACAGCAGCTGTTGCTATCTATTTGCTCAGTATAATTATAAAATCATTACCAGAATGTGCATCAAACAAGTGTGAGTTCAACTAGCGTGGAAAGGGTGTTTTTCGCAGAAATTAGACATTATCCAAATTTGTTACTGATACTTAACTGAAAACCAAATCGCATAAGTGTCGTGGAACATTCGGCTGGCACGAAGTTACAGATATTTATATACCACCCAGTAAACCGCCCTGGGCTGGTGGCCCATGGTGAGTCCTGGCTCAATTTCTCTACTGCATAAAAAAGCATCCTACCTACCAATCTGCATCGGGCCCAGAGTGGAATGAATTCGATGCGGATTGAGCCAAGTGTAGATTAGGCCAACTGCGGATCGGGTCCAGTGTCCTCCCCTATGTCATTGTTACCCAAGGGAATTTCCATACAATTTTAGCGCCCTTTGGATTTATTTTCCCCAGTCGGCCTCGAGCCTGGACTTCTTTCGTGCGACTGATTAATGCTCGATTGAGTGGACGTGCGCAAGATCATCGGCACGCATCCCTTTGATGTACCGGCAATTTACCGATTACTCACGATTACAGAGCGATGATGGTCACTTATGGATTATTATGCCCTCTACACAATCGTGTCTATAATCGCCCATCATGGGCCATTTTGAATTGGGTCCATAAGAGTAAGATAATGTAGGGGTGGTTTTGATTAGACGATCTCTAACGCATGAAACAATCGCAGGTGTGCCACGCGAACCCATCGGAGCGGTCGCGGTTCATCCGCACGGTGTACGGGCTGCTGAACGCTCCCAGCGCCGCTGTGCGGTACGAGGCGGCCGGAACGCTCGTCACGCTGTCCAGCGCGCCTGCCGCCATCAAGGTATCCCCACATTCACAGGTCGGGAGCGGGCGCGGTTCATCCGCACGCTGCAGCGGTGTACGGACTGCTGAATACTCCCAACGCCGCCGTGCGGTACGAGGCGGCCAGCACGCTCGTCACGCTGTCCAACGCGCCTGGCGCTATCAAGGTATCCCCACACTCACAGGTCGGGAGCGGGCGCGGTTCATCCGCACGGTGTACGGGCTGCTGAACGCTCCCAGCGCCGCGTGCGGTACGAGGCGGCCGGCACGCTCGTCACGCTGTCCAGCGCGCCTGGCGCTATCAAGGTATCCCCACACTCACAGGTCGGGAGCGGGCGCGGTTCATCCGCACGGTGTACGGGCTGCTGAACGCTCCCAGCGCCGCCTTGCGGTACGAGGCGGCCGGCACGCTCGTCACGCTGTCCAGCGCGCCTGGCGCTATCAAGGTATCCCCACACTCACAGGTCGGGAGCGGGCGCGGTTCATCCGCACGGTGTACGGGCTGCTGAACGCTCCCAGGGCCGCCGTGCGGTACGAGGCGGCCGGCACGCTCGTCACGCTGTCCAGCGCGCCTGCCGCCAAGGTATTCCCACACTTACAGGTCGGGAGCGGGCGCGGGCGCGGTTCATCCGCACGGTGTACGGGTTGCTGAACGCTCCCAGCGCCGCGGTGGGTTGTGGAATTTTGGGTTTTAAATAAAAATATTTTCAAGGATTTAGAAATGATATGGAAGTATTAGTCTCTAACAAAGTCTGCTAAAACACAGTTCCAAACTTATACACCTAAACTTCAATAATATTGATGGCGGCATGCACACAAATAGAACAAAAAAAAATCAAATAAATACATATTTGGCAAATACATACGTATTTGCAAATGAATTTGGTTATCCATTCATTAGACAAGTTAGTATTAAACGGAAATCTCAACCAATCATTTGATCGCAGTTTGCGCGGAACCATTTTATAGCGCAGACCGTAGAATGAAATGGAATAGAATAGAAAGCTTTATTGTTATGCTAAGTACAATGGTATTACAAGTAATGTCTGAGCTCTAAACAGCGGCCCTTTTCAAACATTCAATATTCAATATCGACAGTAAATGCTTTTAAAAAATTCGGAATTGCTTTTAAATTGTAAGAGCATTTATCCAGTAACCATTTCCTTAACCGAATTTTATATTCCAATCAATTTAAATCTTTAATGTCGTCGGGCAAACTGTTAAATATTTGAATTCCAGTTACAGGTATAAAGAGTTTTTAATTCCATATAATTTGTAATGCTCGTTCAGGCGGCGGCCGCGTGCTACATCGACCTGATCGTGAAGGAGAGCGACAACAACGTGAAGCTGATCGTGGTGGGGCGCCTCAGTGCGTTACGCAGGATCGGGGGAGACGCGGCCACGCGAGCGCTGCCCTCACTCGCCATGGACGTGCTGCGCGTGCTGCACGCCTGCGACCTCGACGTGCGAAGGCACACGCTGCAGCTGGGTGCGTACTGAGTGCGGGGCACACGCGGTCCGTGGACACGCGTCACTCGAGGGCACTGACCTCGCTCGCCATGGACGTGCTGCGCGTGCTGCACGCCTGCGACCTCGACTTGCGGCGGCACACGCTGCAGCTGGGTGCGTACTGAGTGCGGGGCACACGCGGTCCGTGGACACGCGTCACTTGAGGGCACTGACCTCGCTCGCCGTGGACGTGCTGCACGCCTGCGACCTCGACGTGCGGTGGCACACGCTGCAGCTGGGTGCGCACTGAGTGCGGGGCACACGCGGTCCGTGAACACGCCTCACTCGAGGGCACTGACCTCACTCGCCATGGACGTGCTGCACGCGTGCGACCTCGACGTGCGGCGGCACACGCTGCCGCTGGGTGCGTACTGAGTGCGGGGCACACCCGGTCTGAGGACACGCGTCACCCGAGAGCACTGACCTCACTCACCATGGACGTGCTGCGCGTGCTGCACGCCTGCGACCTCGACGAAGAGATGGCGCTACCTTGCAGCCTACCAAGAAAGGCTAGAAAGAATTCGACACGGCCATTAGAGCCGCGGTAGCATAATGGTCAGGGCATTTGCCCGGATAGCGAAGGGTGCTGGTTCGAGTCCCGTCTGCTGCCTGGTCCGCGTGAATTTTTTCTAGTAATATTTTCTTTAGGTTTAAACATCGAGCAGTAACATGCTTAAAATAAAAATTATAGGTATAATGATGACCTCCGTGGCTGAGTGGTATGTACGCCGAATTTTATGGTATAGCCAACTTGAGAGTTCCCGGGCTCGAAACCCGGTGGGGGCAGGTGTATGTGTGATGAATACGAGCATTTGTACTCTAGTCATGGATGTTTAATAAGTATTGTCTATATAAATATATACTTATGAATGTATTAGTATAGTATATGTGAGTCGTATAGTATCAAAGGCGGCAAAGTAGGTAGATTTTCAAAGATGAGATATGAGTATGGTAACACGGGAAATTATAAAACAAATCTTATAAATCTCTCATTCAGGATTACAGATGACCATAATACCCTTAAAAACTTGATTGAAAACACAATTTGGTTTCAAAGGTGGCCAACTTTCTCATCTCGCAATCATAACCGGCCATATTTTAATTTCAACTAATCAGAAGAGTTTCTGCAATAGCGTCGCAACATGGCAGAAAGTGTAGATTAATACATTTTTGTGTTGAGTTTTTAGTGATTTAAAGTTTCTCCTTTAGTGTTTGATACTTAACATGGAGCAAACTCCAACACGTACTACTAATTACACAAGCAAACGAAGAAGAAATAGCGATACATGGAAGAGGAATGTGATAAAAAGCTAAGATAATTTCGTGTTATTTACTAGGTTAGGGTTGGCACCTATTTGATTTTCCTATGTAAATATAATTACACGGATAAAAGTCACAAAAAACATTATAATAATAATATTTGTTGATTTGTTTTGATAGTTACGGGTCCTGCCCGTGGAATATTGTTTCATGTTTGAAACATGATTTTTGTTATCCTTTCCTAGTCATTACATTACCAGTTATGAATATACCAAGATGTATGTAGAAATATAGTTTTTTTATTTAAATTTTTATTAAATAGGAGCGATAGAACGTACAATAATCCATTCAATACAGTTACTTCAATTTAGTTGATATTATTATAATATTCTATTGTCGTGATGGCAAACACGGTGTCTGCGGTGTGTGCCCAATTGCAAGTGATCTTCCAAATAGAACGCAAGATTCCGGCTTAATAAAATCTGGTATTTAGTTTCTTATTATTAATTATTTCTGTTAATTTTCAATAAAAATATTAATTATATATAATAATCTTTCATTTTGACAACCCTGTTCATACTCGGATCTCATAACATTAAGTTCGCGTCAAAGGCGGCCATATTTACCAAGCTTCGGTTCAAAATCGGCCATTCTAATAATTTACTATCAAAGGTGGCAATATAGTAATTTTATTTTATTATTATGGTGCCTGTGGTTCATTTTGCGCAATGATTTTATGTTCATTGACATTCAGAATAACTACAAATCGTAGTTAAATGTCAATTATAAAAATCCTCCCTTAAAAACGAGACTAAACAGTTTTTTTTAATTTGTCAAATATTTGGTTCGCCCTACTTTGCCGCCTTTGATACTATACGACTCATGTATTCTATCTGTTATCCTAGTATTCCATAACACAAGCCTTACACAGTGCTTACTTTGAGGCTAGGCTAATTGGTGTGAGTTTTGGACATATTTATTTATTACTAGCTGTGCCCCGCGGTGTTACCCGCGGTTTATCAGGGATATTTTTGTGTGTTAGTCCAGGGTGTCAGTTAACTCCATACCAAATTTTATTAAAATCGCTCCTGTCGTTTAGACGTGAAAGAGTAACAAACATACACACTCACAAACTTTCGCCTTTATAATATTAGTTTAAGTTATTTATTTAATTTTGTTCCCATAGCTCTGGATCTGGTGACTCCTCGTCACGCTGAAGAGTTGGTGCAGGTTTTGCGTAAGGAAGCCACTCGCGCCAGCAGCGCCGACCACGATGATGCAGCCAAGTATCGACAATTACTCGTTCGGGCCTTGCATCGAGCTGTTATCAAGGTAATAATGCTTTATCATCATCATATCAGCATATTAATGATCCCACTGCTGGAGCACAGGCCTTCCCTATGGGTGGAAAAGGGAGATTGGGCCGTGACCCACCACGCGGGCCCAGTGCGGATTGGCGGGTGCTAACGATTGCAGATGTAGGCGATACCAATGGCTTAAGGTGCCTTCCGAAACACGGAGGAACTCAACATAGAAGATTTTAGGTCACCCATCCAAAGACCGACTATTGCGAAAGTTGCTTAACCTGCACCATCGAGCTCCTCCGAAAAAATAAATTGTATACGCGAACGCGCTAATTTCAAAATACTTACATATTGTTTTAAACTGTCATGGTCACTAACATTATAGCTATTTATGGGATTGTTACCATGTACCTTGTTTTTAAAAAGACGACGTCAGAGGGTAGACCGATATGTCTGCCAATCACATATACCCGCAATTACTTCAGTTACTACGTGACCATGGCGCTTGCAACCCAATAAAAAATAAGGTACATGGTAACAATCCCGTTAATATCTATAAAATATACTTATATATGTTCAATATATGTATTATATTGTTTTCAACTTTCATGGTCACTAAAATTATAGTAAATTACTATAATTTTCGCAATGTACCTTGTTTTTAGCGAGTTTCCGATATTTCGGCACTGTAGCAAGCGCCATGATCATAGAGTAACTGAAGTAATTGCGGGTAGGCTGTTATTGGCAGAAATATCGGTGTACCCTCCGACGAAGTCTTTTATTACGTTCGATACCTGTACCACTGTTCACATTCTCACTATTCACTCGAAACTATTCCCGACACACAACACTTACAGTATCGGATCGCGACACGATACTTTTTTGATTTTTCCGGTTTTTACACATACGAACCACAGGATGAGATTATAATTTCCATCAACTTTCTTGAGTTGCTGCACGGATACAGTGGATTTTGGAAGATCAAATTTCTTGAGTTGCTGCACGGATACAGTGGATTTTGGCAGATTAACTTTCTTGAGTTGCTGCACGGATACAGTGGATTTTGGCAGATCAACTTCCTTGAGTTGCTGCACGGATACAGTGGATTTCGGCAAGTCATCATGTAGCGATGCTTGCGGTGGATCTGGTTTGTAGCGACATCTATATACTTTGGATTTTTTGTTTGAATCAGCTGTGTCGATTTTTGGTGCACGAGGTCCCATACGATACAGGGACGAGACAGTTTTTAGTTTTTTGGATTGGAATCGACGGTATCATAGCCGTCGTCAGGATTAGTTGAGTATTCATCGTCGTTAGGTTCTTGTGCACCGTCTTCAACGTAATTTATACGTTGGGGAGCTCTTGTTTGAAGTTGGGCAAGGTTTTTAAACCGGTTATTGTTATATTCCCTACATTGTTCCAGGGTGTGACCTGGTGTTTTGCAATATCGGCAAAAAGGGGTGGCCGAAGCATTGCCACTATAAGAGCGATTACTATTAGAGCTGGGTCTTTGGTAGAATTGGTTAGAAGTTGGTTGTCCTTGGCTACGGCGGACAAATTGTGCATTAGGCCTTGGTAAATTAGGTCAGTCCTGACGCGCATATTGGTTGCTGGATTGGCTTGGGCCTTGCTTAGAAAGTGTTTGTTGGATTCTCTCCTCAGAGATTGCTAAATTAATAGCGTCGTTTAATGATTTGGTCGATTTACACCTAACAATGTTTGAAATTCGGGGATGCAACCCCATTTGGAAGTGATGGAGGGCTAGTTCCTCCATGGCGGCCGAACGTCCTATCATTTCCCTACTTATTCAGTATGTTTGAGATCTTGTCAGGCACTCCTTTGACTTGACCTGCCTACTCTGTGTCTCTGGTGTCTTAATTTTTGTCTATATGGAAAGTATCCCATGTATCCATTATTCTGTAAGACTCGACATACATGCTCCAACTCTTCTTGAAGATGTTCCTCATCACACAGGTCATATGCACGATTTGTCAATAAAATGAAATGAAGTCACTACAGAGTTAAGATGTTTAGGGTGGTGATGTGAGGAGGCGTTGAGATAGCGGTCAGTGTGTGTAGGTTTGCGATAAATGGAATGACCAAGTGAACCGTCATTCTTCACCCGAATCTTCACATCCAGAAAGGCCAGACTTCTGTCTTCTTCCATCCCATAGGTGAAGTTGATTTTGGAATGGATACCATTTAAATTTGTCAGGTGAGACTCAACATCATCTTTGTTACCTCTTAATATACAGAATACGTCATCGATATACATCTTCCATAGTTTTATATCTGTGGGTGCGGTGATAAAGGCTTTTTCTTCAATATGCTCTATTGGCAACCATAGGAGCAACGGGACTGCCCACGTTCGAAATCATGCGAACCCATCTATTTGGAGGTAGTACTGACCCTGATATATGAAGAAATTCGTTGATAAACAATGATGCAACAGCTGGGCATATTCTTTCGGGATATCATTCTCTTGCAACTTCACCTTCACCACTTCCAGACAATCTAACACAGGTACATTTGTGAACAGCGAATCCACGTCAAAACTGACCATCAACTGATTTTCATCAACCTGGTTTTGGTGCAAGATTTCTATGAAATGGCGGGAATCTTTCACAAACGAATAAACATACTGAATAAATACTCACTAAACACTGTTTTCACTTCTTTACGAAAGGTTTCACAATACCTACGGTCTCCTAAAGACAACTACCCCTTGGAGAAACCTGGTGTCTATAAGATCGATTGCAGCTGTGGCAGTTCGTACATTGGCCAAACAAAGTGAACAGTAGCATGCCGAATGAGGGAACACATTAAAGCAATCAAAATCAGCCATCGCGGAACATTTGATTGATTCGGGTCCTAACCACTAGATTGAGTTCCATAACCCACAGATTATCTCGACAGAATGCCACTACATACCAAGATTGGTTAGGGAAGCGATTGAAATAACAAAACATAAAAATTTCAATCAAGGACGGGTTTTAATTATCGAGTGTCTGGAATCCTGTGGTTTGTATGTGTAAAAAAACGAGCGAGCCTTATAGTAGTCGCGTATGATGTGTAACATTTGCAACCTCATCTTATATTAGTAAAAAAAGAAATAAAACCGACTACAAAAAGAATAAGCCATTTGAACGTTATGTTCTAAAATCAAATCAAGTAGCGCGCGCTTTCGCGACTACCTGTTACACACTTCCGTCCCATTTCACGAAATCACTCCCACAAATTGCAGGAAAGCGAGAGGAAAGATGTTACACATCAAAAATATAACTTCTTTGTGATTGATTGTATGTTCCTCAGTTCCCGGAGGTAGCTGCTAGCGTGGTGCCTACCCTGGCCGAGCTGGCGGGCGACGGCTCGGAGCCTCACGCTTATGACGTGATGGTGTTCTTAAGAGCCGCCTTACATTCCTTCCCGGACCTGAGGCAGTCGGTATACCAGGTGAGTGGATAGTAATCATCATCATTATCAGCCTGTTAATGTACCCACTGCTGGGCCATTTGCCTTCCCTATGCATGCTTAGCACTAAGCAGCTTAGTGGATATTCGCAGGGATTTTAAGCGGATAGTATGCCGTAAAGCGCCCGTAAGAGTTACGGGGTCCTCAGTGGGCAGCCACTGCGGGGGCCCGTAAGTCTTGCGGAAGCCAGAGTCCGTTCTGCGGTGTGCCTCTTGAAGGCGCCGTCGTCTGTAAAAAGAGGTTCAGTCTGCGTTAACAAAAAAAAAGGCCTTCACTATGGATGGAATAGGGAGATTTGACCATGACCCACCTCGCGGGCCCAGCGTAGATTGGCGGGTGCTAACGACTGCAGATGCAGCCGGGACCAACGGCTTAGCGTGCCTTCCGAAGCACGGAGGAACTCGAGATATAAGATTTTTGGTCACCCATCCAATGACCGACCACTGCAAAAGTTGCTTAACTTCAATGATCGCAGCCGAATACTCTGCCCACTTGCGCCATCTTAACCTGTAGGACACGGCACTCTTAAAATCAGTATTTTATAAATTGTGTAGTCATATTTTTTTGTAATGGAAGGTGACTTCATGTGCTATCTCAGTCTGAAGTTATTTTCAATTTGACAACAGCCCTTGCTATTATACATTGTCCTTATTAAGGACGTTGTCCTTATAACGCCTGCTTGTAATAAACTTAATTTTTAATAGCCAGGTAGGCAAATGATTCTACCCCACCTGATGTTAAGTGGTGATAAACTCTAAACGCGAAGATAGCTGGTACAGCAGTCATAAACTGCCACACCAACCATCCTCACCTTGCTGGCCAGCAAAAATGCTTCTTCACTCTTATTTTTAAGATAACAAAAGTTCCTTGTCCCAGACATATACATAACAAATTCAATATAATTTAATTAGTTTAGGCTGTTACAAGACTCGGGAATCACACTCCTCTTTATAGAATGTTTTCAACCTATAATACCATTCGAAATGATTTCGACATATTTAAAGGTTCGAAAGCTTCAACTAGAAAATGTTTAAAATCAATATTCTTTGTATAAGTTCTATTAGTTTTTAGTCTTAACTTCATATTAATCCTTAGTAGCTAGGTAGTATTAGAAATGCATGTTGTGCTTGCATCTAGTAGGTTGCAAAGTGAGTTGATGTTTTTTTTTGTACGCATATATATTTACATGGATAGTCTTTGTAACCAGTTTTCCGAGTTAAATAAAAAAAAAACGAGCGAGCCTTACAGTAGTCGCGTATGATGTGTAACATTTAAAACCTCACCGTATATTAGTAAAAAAAGAAATAAAACCTACTACTAAAGGCATAAGCCATTTGGACATTCTGTTCTAAAATCAAATCAAATAGCGCGAGCTTCCCAAACTTCCTGTTACACACTTTCGTCTCACTTCACGTAATCACTCCCACAAATTGCACGAAAGCGAGAGGAACATCTTTCCTCCCATAAAAAAAATATCTTTTCCAGAAACTTCTGGAATGCTTGCCGGCCATCAAGGTCGGCAAAGTGGCGCGCGCGGCTTTGTGGCTCGTCGCAGAGTTCGCTGATACTGAGGAGAGGGCGCTGGCCGCAACACAACTGCTGGCTTCCTTACTACCCTCCCCTACTAATACTGACCAGGTGGGTTAAATGATCACTTAATTATCAACTACACTTATTAATTAAAGTACTCTTCTGAAATTTTAATGTCTGTGAACGAAATTAAAAACCGTAGGATACAAGCAAAGGTGACTTTCGATTTTTGGATTATCCCAAAAAAAAAATATCCTTGAAAAGATTCACTCATCAAAAACTCAACGAAATTTAATAAATACTGCATAAAATAAGGATTCTGCGTATTACTAAGATGCAATTTGTCATTGACTGACAGATGACAGCTGATACCATTGGTCTTAATTGATTTCCTAGATTGTAATTGGTTGTAGCAAAAATCACGTAATTTCCGTAGCTAACTGTTATTAACTTGAAGTTGCATATTTACCAAAATATATTATCTGTGTTGAAGGATGATGCCAGGGTTTGTATGAAATCTGGTCCCACCTTCCAATAGCTATGTGTGTTACATCGTAGGATAGGTATTTTTGAGCGGAAGAAAATTACTATAGCGCCAAATTCCAATTCTTAGTCCGTTCTGAGTTATTTCTAATTAAACATCGTAACATAAAATTCAAAATCAATGTTAATATTGACAAAAATAAAACAACGATAACATATTTTAATAACACACATTTATTTCATTGTCGTCTTAATTTAAAAATAAGGCAGGGCCTACAAATCCCTCATGCCTGGTGTAACTTAGGTACCAAATGATTGTTACAATATGCGCTCGGGTCCCTACACCGCTATGTCGCAAACCAGTTTTATTATCCTCACCGTATTTAATGAGTGCGAGTGAGACAGACTGATAAAAAGGTTTGTAATTAATGACGCAATTGATATACCTGTAGATTGGTAACTACACTGCGTGTATAAAGCACAGCAATACAATTAATAGGTAAAAATAGCATTACTTGGCTACTGCTAAAACTGCTATGTTTAATTAAGGATAACTCAGAACAGACTAAGATTTGTAATTTTTATTAACGGTAGTAATGTTACAATTTTTATTTTTTTAAAGCATGTAACTGCTTGATGTTTAAATCCATAGAAAATATAACCAAAAAAAATCCACGCGGACGAATCAGTGGTCAGTGCATTCGCCCGGATTGCGAAGGGTGCGGTTTCGAGTCCCGTCTGCTGCCTGGTACGTGTGGATTTTTTTCTGGTTATATTTTCTATGGTAGTAATGTTTTCCTATTTTTTCAAATATTTTTAATTTTATAATATACTGATAAGTAGCCGACATCATGTACAAGCGAAATAGTTAAAAAAAACTAATTATGCTGTTCCTTTCTCGAATGGCGCAGGAAGAGAACCCTGCACCGCAACCAGATACTTCGGCCCCTCGCCAGCTGGTGACCAGTGACGGCACCTACGCCTCGCAGTCCGCCTTCAACCTGCCCCAGTATGTGCTCCATACACTCCCATACACTGTCATACACTCCCATACACACACACACTACTGCCCCTCGCCAGCTGTTGACCAGTGACAGCACCTACGCCTCGCAGTCCGCCTTCAACCTGCCCCAGTGTGTGCTCCATACACTCCCATACACTCCCATACACACACACACTGCTGCCCCTTGCCAGCTGGTGACCGGTGACGGCACTAAATACGCAATATGGCATTGATACTGCAAAGTGCTTGTGTCGTTACACAAAAATAAAGGCGCTAATTTCAGCTTAAAAAAACAGCCAGTGTGACGATTCACAAAGTAGGGTTATGTATTTATTTCCAGCGGCCGTATGCGACTTCGTCTACCTTAATTTTGGTTTTTTGAAAATCCCTCAGGAACCCGTCACTTTTCCGGGACAAAAAGTATCGTTTGCCTCAATCAAGGTCATAAACTATATGCGTACCAAATCCGTTGGGTAGTTTAGGTGTGAAAGCGTAACAAACATACAAACTCACTTTCGCATTTATAATAATGTTTAGGATAGTTATAACAGTATACTACTTACAATAATTATATATGCAGGAACATACACACAAATGTATTAAAACTAGATGAGACAAAGAAAATCCAAAAATTACATATTTTGTGAACTCTTATTTTTTTAACTTTACTGTATTTCTGTTACAGACAAAAAAACGAGCGAGCCTTACAGTAGACGCGTATGATGTTTAACATTTGAAGCCTCACCTTACATTAGTAAAAAAAGAAATAAAACCTACTACCAAATGATTAAGCCATTTGAACATTAAGTTCTAAAATCAAATCAAATAGCGCGCGCTTTCGCGACTTCCTGTTACACACTTCCGTCCCATTTCACGTAATCACTCCCACAAATTGCAGGAAACCGAGAGGAAAGATATTACACATCAATAACGAAATTAGATAGACACTTTAATTTTCACAGAAGAATTTCAGATGTATACATATTTTACATATTATTACGATTTCGTTTATCACGTTTATCAAATTTACGTGACGCTGCAACGCACCCAACGACTTGCAAAGTGCTCCCAACATTTTGCGACACATTAACGTGATGCAGAACATGTTGCTTGCTCGCGCGCGAGATCCAGAGTATAGCAGTGTTTTCAACGTACCTTTCAACAAATTTATAGAATTTACACATCAGCCACTTCTTTTGCTTTATGTTTCTGTACCGAAATAAGTATATACCCAGCACTAATCGCCACAACCTCCTCGTGCGACATTTCTACAACTAGTACTAGTAGTAGTGCTTGAACTCCACTCAAGCACTTCTTGGTTCACAGTCACGCGCGGACCGTTAATAAGTCAAGATGCTGCAAGTGAAAATATGCGGAAAAAACTACTTTTAGTACGTAAGGTGTCGTTTTTTCGACAGGTGTCTAGTCAATGTTTGTTAATTCAACACAGTTGAAGAAAATTTTGTTCTTATACTTACTATAAACTGATTTAATATAAAATATTTGTGATATTCAAATGCAGGGTCGGTATATAGACGTCTCTTTTTCCTTGCGGTCCGTACCTGCTATATTGCTAACAGCGCATTTAGAAATGAGCGTAGTATCAAAGAAATAAGGTAGCAATAAGTCGTTTAATTTTACGAGCTTGCATTTCGAACTGTGATAACTATATTGTTTTTCCTTATATTGTTTTTGACAACTCCGTGACGTTTACGGAGCTCCGTGGATGGTCCAATGTTACTTTTTGGGACAGGTTTTGGCAACGATTTTGTTTGTGTTGTATTTAATATCGTTGGGCGGAATTCTCAAAATTCTCCTCTTCTCTCTTCTTTTTGTGCAGGTCGTCAGCCACATCGACTGGTTCCGAGCCGGGGCTCAGTGTAGCTCTTCGTTCCGGCGATAGTTTCACGGTCGCTTGCGCATGTTCGTGCTTGGCCAAACTGGCTCTAAGACTGGAGGGGGCGGAATCCACGCGCGCCTTGCTATTGGCGGCTAGACTGCTGGCTCATCACAAGAAGCAAGCTGGTAACGTATTATTACTGTTATACATCTTGTGTATGCAGTTGTGATGGGGAAGAAAACGCAAAGCTCATTACAAATGGTGCTTTGGCTGTTTGGCGCATAGCAGCCTATCACTTCAAGGCTGAGGCCTTGACGTTTGACATAAAATGTATGAATCTTATGATATTTGTTGCACCTGTAGCGTAGTTTTGGAATGCAGCCTAATTCTATCGGAATTTGTAAGTTTTCCTTGTGACTTTAACAGCTGTCATCCCAGTTGTTATCCCGTCAAATCTGTAAGCAATATAGCGCTCAAAACCCTGTCTGTGTTAGCCCCCCCCCCCCCCTCCCATTTTACTTTTCACGGCCGGTTTTTTTTTAGATTTTCCGGCTGCTTTTCCGTTATTCGAGTTCTACTGTACAAACAGGCTTCATTTATGTCTTAAATCAATCCTTAATAGTTTCTCTATAAACTTATCTATATTTTAGATGTGTAAACAACTACTAAATATGATAAAACGCAAAATGAGTAGAATGAAAATATTTTAATGAACTCGTGGCAGAAAGCTGCCATCTCCACAGACAGTTGACAGACTTTTTTGACGTTGGCAGATATCTGCCATTTACACAGACCAGGGGTTATGGACCATTCGACACGTGCGCCTGTGGCGGGATAAATTGACAGTTTTCTTTCCAAAGATCGAGAGTATTACCTTGGTGATTATTTCAGTTTAGTTTCTTTGTCAAAGTGGCTCTAAGACTCGAAGGGGCGGAATCTACGCGTGCCAGCTATTGACTGCTAGACTCCTGGCTCATTATAAAAAGCAAGCCGACAAACGTATTATTCTACTTTCCTATTAATATTATAAAGTAGCGACCCTCTGCGATTTCGTCCTCGTTAACTTGTATTTTTTTGAGAATATTACACGAAACTTACGTTTTTATCATTACATAAAATGTTCTACATATGTACGGTGGCGGTCAGAAAATGTTTACCAGTTTTCAAATTAGATTCTATGTCACACTGTTTTCACTAGTCTAAAATGACATATCAAGTTACTGATTACCTTTTAAAAGTTATTATGCAATATGACGCATCGAGAAAAACAAAAAGAATTATATATTACTTTTTGATATTGAAACTCATTTCTTTATTTGTTGAAATGACATTTATAAAAAAAATATTGTTTGAACATTGTTTGGACAAGAGCAAAATTTTACGAATAATATTTTGATAACGACATAAAATGACAAGTTTGACCCTGGACCAAAGGGCTGAAATAATATTTCTCTTCGAAGATGGACAAGTATTAGTGATATATCACGAGAACTCAATATAGGGTGAAATTGAATGTTTCAATGAAACTTCGTGAGATTGTTGGGTTACGTGTATAGAGTATGCCTGATTTTTTTCGGAAATTTTAATTATTTTTTTTAATAGGGAAGATGCATATATAATATTTATGAAAATTTTATGATTAAAATGTTAAAAAAATATAAAAGAAGGGCCACTGCAACGTTTTTATTTTACAAAATGTTGTTTTTTAATAATAATTACGAATTAAAAATGACTGAAACGAAACGTAATTTAAAACACCAATCAGCGTTTCGTGACGTCACTCCTGTTATACAGTGTTGCCAGGTCTCAGATTTTACAGGAGATCTCCTGTTTTTCTGAAATTTCTCCTGTTCTACTGTTTTTCTACATGTATCTCCTGTTTTTTTAGAACACGATTTTCTTTTTAAATTGCATGTTGAGTTGCATTTTCCGTCATTAATAATTATCTACTGTTTTTTTCTATAACGACTCCCGATTTTTGAAAATCGGACCTGGCAACACCGCTGTTATGACAACTTATTTGAGGTTATGGTTGTAAAAGTGAATATTATTTTAAGGGAATATTAATTGCGTTTTTTAATAAAAATGGAAGTTGGGTTTATCAAAGCAGACTCCAGGAATTTACCAAGAGTTAGTGTTGACATGGTTGTAACTTTTTTTGTCCAAAGTGCAGAGTTTTCAAGTGTAGAAATGAAAGGGACTAAATTACTACGGTATGTATAAATCACAGTTGTTAAACTTTGTATTTTATTCAACGGCTTCTACACATAACAGTTATTTCAGCTCAACAAGAGAATCTTACGGCGATTACGCAATCGGCTATGTCCAAATTAAAAGAGATGGAGAATTATGTACAGTAAAAAGTCGAGTTACTCCGGAGCATAAAGTACGTAAAGAAGGTTACCGTGTTACAGTTATTTTAAATGAAACTCAAAGCTTGGTTCAGTCCTGCCAATGTGAAGATTGTGCAGCTTCTGAAGGTAAAGAATTAAAGTTATTTTCAAATAATTAAACTGTTTGAAAAGAATTAAGTTCATTTTTAATAGTTAAACTGTATGTGGAACGGATTATTATGACTAAAATTTCTTTCTAGGTGGGTGTAAGCATGCTGCTGCACTATTGCTATGGTTGCACAGAAGATCTGAGGACCCTCCGATTACGTCCGTCACATGTTATTGGAAGAAGTCTAAATTATCTACATGTGCTTCAGGAAAATCTTTTATAAAAGCCAAAGAAATGGGTCATATTTCAGTCACTAACAGTTTTTCTCAAGTATGTAGTTTTTTATTTGAAGAATTTCTTAAATGTGTTCCAATAATAACTGCATATTTTTAGGTGGATATTTTAAGTGAATTTCTAGATGCTGTCAAAAAAAAAGATTGTCAAGCGAGTATTCTTCACTACTTTCAAGAAAACCAACAAACTTTAAGCATTCATAAACTGTGTTCAAGATTGATTGGGAAGTTGGACTCTCCACAATCATTTCTTGAAATATTATCAAACCAAATGACCACTGATAATATTAATATGATTTTTTCCACCACCAAAAATCAGAGCGATACACCATTGTGGTTTGAGTTGAGGCAAGTAGTAAAGGCTTCTAGCTTAGTTTTGTTTATTGTATTTATCACGATAAAGAAGAAGTATTTGCAGAAATATGTAAAAAAGGAAAAATTTGCACAAACAAACTCACTATCATACCCACATAGCATAAACTTGATTGGCATATTTACTGTAAACAACACATTTTTATTTTTCTATTTTTACAGATACGGAAGAATTACTGGCTCAATTCTTCATGAAGCCGCTCACTGTAGAACTAAAATTGGTTCCCTTTTGAACAAAATTATGGGAGAACATTCAAAATTTACTTCCATTGCGATGGCTAGAGGGACAAAACTAGAAAAAGAAGTTCTCGAAGTAGTGAGCAAAAAAGAAAAAGTAACTTCATTAGTTTTTCTGTTGTTTAAATATTTTGAATAAAAGAATTTGTAATGTCTAGTTTAAGGCCTTTGTATAAATTAATATTATTTATATTATTACGATCTGCATTTCAGATTAAAATTGAAGAAGCTGGACTTCTTCTTAATGCCGAGTATCCTATTTTTGGTGTAACACCTGACGGGCTTACTGAAAATTACACAATAGAGGTGAAATGTCCTTCAACAGAAGCTACCATACTTAACTATGTGAAAGACAATAAAATAACACCAAAATGTTGGACACACGTACAACTTCAAATGTTTTTCAGCAAAAGGAAAATGGCACTTTTTTGTATAGCACACCCAAACTTTGAAAAATCAAAAGAAGTAGATATTTATAATGTGCCATATGATGACAGCATTGTATCTGTTATGAATGCTGCAAAGAAATTCTGGATAGATGCTGTATATCCAAAATTAAAAGATATATATAATATTTAAGCATATTTTGTTTTTGTAAATTTATAAAATAAAATTCTATGCTTTGTAAATACTATTTTTTTATTCCATTTTAATTAAAGGTGATTGCAAATTGACAAGCGCAGAACAAATGATTATGCTATAATCTAAATGGGGAACAAGAAAATGATCAACACAGGCATGTGGTTTTAGTAACGCAAATTCGCGCAGTCTTCTAATCACTCTTTCAATATGAATTCGAAGGCTTGCAATTTTCTTTGATTTTATTACCTCATCTTTTGTACTTTTCTTAGTGTTGCTAACACTAGGTGGTCTTATCAATTGAAATTGCTTTTTTGCCAACACTCCTTCTATGTGCTTGAAGCCTCTGTCTGCCATGATGCAAGCTCCAGGTGGTAAAATGTCCATAAATCCAGATTCTTGAAAAACTTTTAAATCAGAAGTTCGGCCACCAAAACCATCTGAGATAAAGTTTATAACCCCGTCTGGTGTTGAAGATATTAAATATTTTAAAGTGTTGCACTTCTTATAAGAGGAATAGGTTAGAGACTGGTGTACTGCATCACTAGGAACTTCTATTTCTATTTCGAGGCAATCAATTATACAATAAGTTTTGGAATAGGAATTTCTGAAGCTAATTGGCAAATTGGCAAGAACTGACTCTCGTGATGGTTTAATAATAAACTTTTTTAATACTTCAGCCATTTTCCAACAATTTCTTGAAAATATTCTGCTTGCTGTAGTTGCATGTATATCAAAATCTTCTGCTAAAATAGAAAATGATTCATTCAGTCGTAGCTTTTTTAAAACTAAGCAAATATGATAAAGATTGCATTTTAAGTGTTTTTATAGAAGTTCTACAAGAATATTGCTAGAAAATGGAACCCCTATGTACAACTGAGGCTGTGCCATTATTCGACCCATTGTTATTTCACATAACTGTCTTTGTTTTAGCTGTTTACATCCACTTAAAACAGATTCTGAAGTACTATCAGTCTCCTCTTCAGGTTTAAATAAACTCCTGATACTGTCACTATCACTAGAGTCATTACAATGAAGAATTTTATACTTATTTAGTTTTATTGGTGATGTTTTAGGTGATAAAGCTACAGTCTTTTGGGGTATTTTCATTTGTACTTGAACTTGTTTTGATCGTTTATAAGGATATATATATACTTGTACACCTTTATCATTGGATATTTGTTTTGATCGTTTATAAGGATATATAGATACTTGTACACCTTTATCATTGGATATTTCAATATTTTGAGAATCATGTGTTT